TATTCAAGCCAACAATTGCTCAATCTTTGAAAAACTTAGCAAATGAAGGAATAATATAATTCAGGTATATGAATAGCTAACTCTCTCTGTGCTTCTTTCAAACTCACACAAGTCCCACCTACATATATATCTTTGCTTTCTTCAACATTGAAATGCCTTTTCATAGTCATTTAGAATTTCAATATATATTGAGAAGAAACCAAACCAAGCCCAAAATTTGGAAAAGAACTTCAAAAAGTCAGAAATAGTCAACTATAAAATGAGTAAACAACTTGTGCAATTTGGGATTTGATAATTTTGGTTAAGATTTGTAGATCAATCTGTAATGCTGTAGGATGAGTTTGTTTTTTAATCATATAAATGATTTGCTGCTGAGTACAGAGGAGAGGAAGAAGCCAATAATTGAAGGTATCCATACTTCAAAAAGTCATTTGCTGCCTTTCTTTAGCCTGTGTTTTCCAACTCTGTAAGTTTATTTCCATTCCATTTTCGTTTTAGGTTGAGATTTTCTTCATATTAATTCTTGAGCAGCTTTATAAAGTTTATACACAAAGAAATCAGAATTAATTTCAATATTTCTTTGGCTGATTTCATGAGCAGAAGCCTAGCCAAAACTTGAAAACATAGTTTTTGAATCTGATAATAGACAATCACACATAATGACATGAGTGAATGAGACCATGGTTTGGTGCCCAATTTTAAGGGATTTTTCTATTTTCTCCTGTGTGTAATATTGTCAAAGTGTCAATATGCTTTATCTTGATATATATATCTATTATGTGTATCTCCTAGCTCTGATTAGAGAAAATTTTGTGTGTCTGTTATTGTTGATAGTGAAGATTTTGACTACGGTCACGTGGTTTTTTACTCCTCGATTTGGGGAGGTTTTTCCACGTTAATATCGTTGGTGTTATATTGTTTTTTGCTTGCTTATTCCCAGTAAAGGAGATAATTGATTAGTAGTAGTCAAATTTGTTTAACCCATCAATGAGGTCGAATGAATGGTTGGAGAAGCCATGTTTGGTTGCCAGCTTGTACCTTGGCTCTGCCTCCCCCTTCAGAAATTTTGTTGGTTTCTCCAAGATTTCAATTCTGCCACTAATGGAGAGCAAGCATTTACCATAAGAACAAGAAGGGAAGCCAATCTTTGGATGAAAAGCTTACTCATATCCAAATAGGGTCCTTGTCTTTAGAAGCAACCCGTCATCCAAATAGAGTTCTTGCTAGAGTTTAGTAGTGAAAACCAAGTCAAAAGCCAAGATTTTTTCATAAGTTATTCATCTGAGCAATCATGGTACGTAACTCATAAATTTTGTATCAAAATCATAGCTGGAACTTGGTTGTAGTTTGAATTTCAATTAGGTGAAAACTCGGCTGAATCCAAATAGATTATATGATTTTTTGATATGTATATGTAGTAGGTTTAGCTTTTTCTTTTTCAAAGTTAGACTTTTTTTTCTCTTTTTGCTATAATTGCTCTGTAATTTTTTAATAGGATAATGGCAAAGCTTATGTCTGCTAGGCTATACAATCAAGTAGTCTAAGTTAAAATAAGTTTGAGCTGCYATAGCATTTGCATCTCTTACCTACTTCATTTACAGGATAATAATGATAGTTCAAATATGCCCATGTCAAAAAACATAAGTCACTTTTTTAAGTTTTGGCTTCTTTCTTTGTTCATGTTTGTCTATCATGCCTTATTTTGAACTCGTTGCAAAATTATCTCGAGATCTATAAAAGTGAAAGACCTTCTATCGTGATTCAAATAGGGTTGGACTTGGCCGAGCGAGGTCGGGTAGATAAGAGTGAAACTATCAACTACTAAAATGGGTAATGATCAAATTCATTTTCGTTTCTTTTTTCTGCTCATCTTTTCCTCTAGTCAATAACTTATCAATTTTTGAATTATTTTAGTACAACAATACGTAGAGATGGAGTTTTGAACATGTTACATTTTGGTCGGAGGTACATTTCTCAACCAATTCAATTGGTTCATGTTGGCAAATTTGGAATTGATGGGACATAATAATTTTATTTATGAGCCCCATTGCATAATACAAGCTTAATCCCTACCGTGGAGCAAAAGAGGTTTGCATTTTTTAAAATCTTATCAGTCTTCTCTGCATAGTGCACACAAAATGTCATAAATATATTAGATCTTTATTATTTCTCTTCCCCAAAAGATATGATCAATAATAAAACTTTTAAAAATACATAGACAAGATTGAACTATAAATATTAAATATATAATTTAATATTTTCATCAACGCATCCTAATTCTTTGGGTAAATCYTAGTACTATACCATTCCTACTATTAGTGGATAAATAGCAAAAATCTAACACAAATAATTTGCACTCTAAAATAAGTTATAAAAATCTAATTGGCACTATTGATTTGAACTCCAAAATGAAAATAAAGTCATAAATGAATAACTTGTCACCCATTGATTAATTTTGACTATCACTAATAATAGGGATGTCTTGTAAATTTTGCTTGATATTAAACTTTTATTTGGGTGGCACAATCTTCAAAATGAAAATATTTAAAATTATGTATTTATAGAAAGTAATTTCAAATATAATATATATTTTTATAAAAATAATAATGGTTAATATAGGTTTTTTTCTAACTTAATTAGTCACTGGTTACTTGAAAGAATCATTAATACATATTGATTAAAGGGTTCCTATGATTAACTAACTGAAATCATAACTGTACTAATGATCTGTTGATTAAGTTAGAGAGGTTCAAAGTTCATACCCCAATTTGTTAGAATTAAAAAACTAACGGTAATCCACAAATATAATTTTTTTTCAGGTTCTTATTTTGTAATATTTTATAACTATGCATTTTATTTTTCTCAAAAAAAAAAAAATATATATATATATATATGCATTTTCTTTTACCAATATACGTGCTTTCTGTTTTAATTGTTACAATATTATTATTTTGTTGAACCTAAAATATTTATTGTATATATTATTTACTAAAAGCATTACTAATAATTGAATAAAAAAATATCTTTGCAGAAAATTATCATTCAAAATAAATTAGAATTGAGTAAATTGATATCATCAAATTTTATGCGTTAACCTAATGACAGAAGAACTAAATCAAGCATGTCAACTTAAGCATAGTGTTGTACGAAGAGGAAATGTAGCTACCATGTGTCGCAACACCAGAACAACACATCGAGAAGTACTCTAAAGGAGGGAGCCATCAATATGCGGAGGTCGTAAATGTCGAACTCACTTACATCTAGGGTGTCGATCTCTAGAGTGTACTATACGTCTCAATCTATTCCACCATCTTCAAAGTAGCCAGCGATTCTGAAAAAGAGAGTAGTAAATGATAATGCAATTTCCAACAAATCCTGTGATATGGGGATGAATTGGCAAGAGGTTAATAACGATGCTTAAACCATGATCATCTATAAATCAAATGGGTAAAACCCTATTAACGATATGTGTGAATCTCAACTACAAACATATATTTTAAATTCCGACCTATACTGACTTAAGTATCAGAGTGCTGATCACCACCCTCTGTGTAGCCGATCATCTTAAATTGGTAACTCATTCCCTCTAAATCAACCCTAGTCCCTTTGGACCAATTATTTAATCAAAAATAAAAATAAAATTAACTGAGACACTTGTCCTTTCGATTTATAAAAACTTGAAAGAACTTCCAGAAGATATAAAAAATTTGACAAACCTTACACGTCTTGTTCTTAAGAGCCGCAGAAATGAGAATATAGAATTTCTTCCAAATTCTATAAGTGAGTTGAATAATTTGGAAACACTTATCCTAACGGGGTATGGAAAGGTAAAAGAATTGCCGCAAGATATCAAAAATTTAATCCACCTTCAGCATCTTGATCTTCAATGGAATAACAGTATGGAATTTCTGCCGAATTCTATTAGTGAGTTGTGTGAATTGAAAATACTTATCCTTCGATGTTGTACAAAATTAAAAGAATTGCCGAGAGATGTCAAATATTGGATCAATCTTAAGTATCTTGATCTTTCAGGGAGTGGTATAGAATTCCTTCCAGATTCTATGACCCATTCAAATAATTTGGAAACACTTCTCCTTAGTTTTTGTTCTAAATTAAAAGGATTACCAAGAAATACCAAAAAATTGATCAACCTTAAGCATCTTGATATATTTGCATGCGATGCTTTGACTCATGTGCCAAAAGGACTAGGTGAGCTGACTAGTCTTCAAACATCGAATTTGTTTGTATTAGGAAAGGACAATAATGGAGGTGCATTAAGCGAGTTGAACGGACTTAACAAGTTAAAGGGAGTGTTAGGGATCAGAGGATTGCAATTTTCTTCAACAGTTGATCTACAAACGAATGCTAAGTTATTGGAACTAAAGTCGGATCTTCAAAACTTATCGTTAAAGTAGGAGTGGGACGATGAGCCTACAATTGGTGATCACTTGGACGATGACTACGAAAGAGTTTTAGAATGCTTACGGCCATATTCAAATCTTCTAAAGATACGTATGGATGGATACAGAGGAGTGAAATTATGTAATTGGTTATCATCTTCCTCTTATTCTTTTGATGGTCTGGTCCACATGGAAATTTTCTCTTGTGAAAGATTGCAGCATCTCCCTCAATTCTCGCAATTTCCTAATCGCACGTGGTAAACAATGATTATCCTTGTTCATCAACTTTGTTTCCATCCCTTGAGGAATTAAGCATTTTTATAAAATCGTTGTCAATTCTTTGCTGTCCCATATTGGAGGAAAGATGCAAGGAGGAAACTGGAGAAGATTGGCCTAAAATCGCAATATCACCTACGTAAGCCTCAGGTTGCCATTTCTAAAAACACCCATCAGGTACGCAAAGAGTATATTTCTACCCAATATTTCATTAATGGCTATTATTTTAACTATTTATAAAACTAGATTTTCGCAATTAAACGGATCATTTTTTAGACAAAATTATAAAATTGCAATAGTTAACCCATTTATGCCATTAGTAATCCATATGAGTTACTTTGTCCCTTAGCTCTTAATTTTATTTGTCTTTGAAACGCAATAATTTCATTTTTCGCAATCAATTAATTTCTCTACTTTTCTCTTTCCACAGTAAAAAATAAATAAAAATCTGTATTAATTTAATATTTCTTTAACTGATTTCATGATCACAAGCCAAGCATGAAACTTACAAATAGATTCTAAAAGTTTGAGAACAGCCAACCATAAAACTGGGTAATCCTGTAATTGGTTTCTTCTCTGCTTTTCTTTCCTTTTCTTTTTTCTTTATTTTTTTTTTCTCCTTTTTCCTAGTCAAATAACGTACCAATTTGGGATTTAAAAATTTTGTGGCTTTGGTGTTCATTATTCCATATTTGTAGTTTAATCTCTACCACTGGGAAATTGAAGGATTGAGTTGGTTTAATTTCATGAATGTTATCAACTTTTTGTTGTGTTTCTAAACAGGGGGAGAAGACCATCTGCTATATAACAGATGTAGGTGGAGAAAGCAAAGAAAAGAGATTACCCAAAGTTACATGAGTGAAAGGAGATGACTTGGTGCCACTTTTAAGATTTTTTTTTTTTTTTTTTTGTGTAATATTGTAAAATTTCTAATAGGTTTATTTTCCATATATATTTGTTAGGTATATCTCTCTACTTTGTCTGCCTATTTATTATTGATAGTGAACGGTTACGTGGTTTTTTACTCCTCAATTTGGGGAGGTTTTTCCACTATAAAATTGTTGGTATACCTTATTTAATTTGTTTGTATTATTTTTACTTGCTTACATTCTAGTAGATTCATACGGGAGATAATTGATTAGTAGTCAAATTTGTTTAACTCATCAATGAGGTGGAATGAATGGATAGAGAAACCATGTTTGGTTGCCTTGTATCTTAGCCCCCTTAAAAAATTTTGTTGGTTTCTCCAAGATTTCAGTTAAGCCATTAATAAGAGACCAAGTAATTTCCATAAGAACAAAAAGGGAAACCAATCTTTGGATGAAAAGCTTAGTCATATCCAAATGGAGTAGCTTGTCGTTTGGAAGCAACCTTCCATGTAAATCTTCATTTATGATTCTCAATCTTTTAGTACAGCATATAGGAGTGAAATTTAAATATGTTGCTTTTTAGACGAAAATACATGAACTCAATTAGTTGAGTTAAATTTAGATGGGCAAATTTTAGAGTTGATGGGAGGTAATAATTTTATTTCGAGTCCCATTTGCATAATTCAAGCTTAATCCCTATCATTGAAAAAAAACTCTATTTTCAAAAATCTTATCTATCCCCTCTACATAGTGTACATGAAGGGACAGAATAAACCATGGTTAGATTCATAATTGCGGATCGGGATAACAACAAATATAGCCATCTAAAATAGGCAATTTAAAAAAAAAGGCTTAAAACAACTTTCAATTTGGCCAACTAAAAATAGGAAGATATCTACCACGAATTTACAAGATGATTTTAAAATGAATATATTATTTTCCTACAGGGGAATCCTAACTATATTTTTCCATTATGAAAGCTGAACATAGGAACAAATACGGTGAAGGTAAACATAAGAACAAATACGATAAAGGTGGAGGTGAACATAGGAACAAATATAATGAAGGTGAACAGAAAACAAATATAATGAAGGTGAACAGAGGAACAAATACGGTAAAGGTGAACACAGGAAGAAATACAATGAAGGTGAATAGAGAACAAATATAATGAAGGTGAACAGAGAAACAAATACGATGAAGATGAACAAATGAACAAATACGATGAAGGTGAACACAAAGAAGAAATACGATGAAGGTGAACACATGAACAAATACAGTGAACAGAGGAAAAAAAGAGAAGAAATAAGTTGTACTTTTGTGAACAAATAATACAAAAATTATAAAGTGTTCTGCCTTAGACCAAAAGCGATTTGTAGAAACTCGATTTTTTTTTGTTTCAAAAACATTTTGTTTTTTCAAATCAAATAAATAATTTCATCTAAGATTCATTGGAACAAAAAAAGCCTGGATAGGTACTGACCAGGCCAGGTCGTGGAAATAAAAAGAAAAGGACTTTTCGGATGGAATAAAAGAGGTACTTTAGGTTCACGATTTGACTTTGATCGTTGTGGACTGGTACCAAGATCTAGTCCTAGACAGACAACATATAGGCACCTCCCTCCTTCGCTCTGTCACCTATCACATTGCCCCATCGTTGTTCCCTCGCTTGATTTCGTCAACTTCTGGCATCACCTAACAGATCTTGTGTCTCTCGCTTGATTTCTGTCTCCCTCACCATACCCTCGACTTTCTGTCTCCCTTACCATACCCTCAACTCGGCTTTGATCGTCTCCCTCTCTGATCGTCTCTCTAGGTGCTATGTGTCCTTAAATTTGGTTAGTTTTGTATCTATGTATTAAGTTTATAACAATAGTTGTTGGAAAGAAAACTAGAATGGAGTAGATAGAATCTAGAATAGAGATAATATGAGTTAAAGTTATTTTGTTTTTAAAAATAACTAAATAGAAAGGGTAAAAATATTAAAATCAAACATGTGCAAAATAGTTAGAAAAATACAAATGGACATTTTTAATTATCAAGGATCATTCGGCCATTTTTCAAAATTAGGTGTCAAATAAGGACACCAGGTGTAAATTCTCATAAATAAAACGGATCCAAATCTATCTATTAAAAATGGTTAAATTGCACTAGAATATTGCGGTGTCTGCCTCGAACAAATTTGAAAAACAAACATTATAAATTGTTGTTGTCCTAAACCATGGAATCTAATAAGTTTGAGTTCAGCAAAAATAATTTCTTTATAAAATATAGTGATTTACGGTGACGAATCTAAAAAGTTTTTGAGTGGACCTCCAGTATTTTAAAAATTCATAAAAGTACGATTTTGAGGCTGACAATGTTATTGTTGTAAATACACCCTATAAATTTAGTCTCAAATATTACTATTGTAATCAAGAATTATATCTAGCAAAATTACTATTACCCAATAGTCAAATTCATAACATATACAATGTAAAATTAATAAAAATGTACCTTAGACAATTAATTTGTTCTAAAAATTAAAAAAAATCCATAAAAGCATGATTTTGAAGCTGACAATGTCATTATTGTAAATACACCCTATGAATTTGGTCTCAAATATTACTATTGTAATCAATAATTTTTTTTTTGACAGATTTTAATCAATAATTATATCTAGCAAAATTACTATTATCCCATAGTTAAATTCATAGCATATACAATGTAAAGTTAATAAAAATGTAGTTCAGATAATTAATTTCCAAATTGTTGACTTCTTTAGATTATGCAAAATTGAAACTACAAATTATAATTAGATAAATAAGAACAATTAAATATGAAAAATGATGATTTAAAGAGAATTTTAAAATATCAGTTTAATAATTTATAGAAAAAATATTATTAGCTATATGTAACAATAACGTATAAATTCTTAAAAAAAAACGTATAAGTTGAAAAAAATAAGCCTTGAAATTACTGACAACAATAAGATGAGAGACAGACAAATAATGTATAAATTGAAAAATATTTCTAACAGATTTGAAATAGGAGGTGGTACTGACTAATTACGGTCTAAATGTCCACCAACCTCTTTCCTCCCGATAAATTTAACTAAATATTTTTCCAAAGTCTAAAATATCGATGTCGATGGAAATGTCAAGATTCCAATTTTAGAAAAATGTCAATGTGTGGATATTTCGAAAAATGTCACGGCAATTATAAAATTGGTAGAAATTGTTTAAATTAATAAATAAACTTTGATTGTAACTTAATTAGGTTATAATGGATCACTTTTAATCATCATATATAAAAATATGAGTATGAAAATATTAAATGTCGGAACAAGATAATAAATATTGATGGAAATTATTAAAATTAATAAATTAAAGTTACGTGTTTATTGATAATTTCTCGACGAATAGGTTTGCAAATAGTGTAAATTTAAATTTAAAAAAAGAGTAGGTAAAGTTAAGTTAAAATAAAAAAAATTATAAATAATTTGAGTGAATTATAAATAATTTAGAAATGACGATGGTTCTAAATATCCTTGACATGTCGACATTTCCATCTTGTATCAATCTTTTCATGGATTCGACATCGACATAAGGGGTAAATCGACATTTTCATCGTAGTACAAAAGAAATCGATAAAATAGGAAATATATTAACAAAATGTCACTAATATATACATAATATCAATATTAATTATTTTTTAACTTATTTAAAATATAAAAGTATTTATTTGTTAATTTAAATACTTTTTACGATTGATATTTTATCGATATTTTCATGAAATTGAGGCCTTGATATTTCTAACATTTAAAATCTTGAAAATGATACATACCAATTACCGCTGAGCTGTGCTGACTTTGACATATTTTTATCCACCGGGATGTACACAGATCCAAATTTCCCAATTAAAATTAGTCAAATTGCATTGAAATATTTTATTGTCTCAGCTGTTCCTAGTGACCATTTGCTTGTTTCTTTTTATTATTTCTTTATCTATAAACCCCACTTCCAAGTTGCAATTTGTATTTAATTATTTAGATAAAACAGATCTAAATCTCCCAATTAAAAATAATCAAATTGCATTAAATTATTTTATCGTCTCTAGAGGTGTGCTGTCTCTAGGAAGGAGTGACCATTTGCTTGTTTTTATTATTAGTATTTTTTATTAGTAAACCAACTTACAAGCATGAGAGTAGATTTGTAAGTGACTTAATTAAAATTGCTTAATTAATGTATACCATCTGATGCACCAAAAAAAAAAAAAAAGAACAAAAATCAGACATAATAATAGGTTTAAAAATACACAAATGTGTATTGTCGTAGTACCTACTCCTTCCATTCACTGTTTGACATATCAATAAGTAATATATTATTGTATTGGTTAAATTACAAAATTTAGTCATAAATCATCTTAATTTATGTTAAATAGATTTTTGAACTTAAAAATATGTCAAATAGGTTCAAGCAGAGTTGATTCAGATCCGAGTAAGGTTGTTTGTATAAAAGTTGAAAAAATGGGTAGCGATCAAATATATTTTTTGTTTTCATTTTCCTAAGTCATATTTTTCTCCAATGAAAAATTTACCAATATAGGGTTAATAGGATGTTAACAAGAGCTCTAACAGCTATAAAATCAAGTTTTTGCACAAATTTAAATTTGACTAATGGACAAAATCAAGCATTATATAACTCTTTCCCATGACTGTAGAAAGAGAAAATAGAAAAATAAGTTTGACGAAGGAAATTATTACATTTCAAAGAAATATATAAATAATGAAACGAAAAATAGTTTATACCTGCGCGATGAAAGTTAGCCGATTTCACCTATTTTTCTTCTTATTTGTCTCAAAATAAAATTGAAAGATAAAAGAAAATTTCATCCATCATTCATTTTTTTTATTTTTAAAAATACAACTTGAAATATGTTATAAGTTTGACTTGTAACAGCGACTTAATTTTTTTTTTATAATTATCTGACGTAGCTGTAGTAGTACGAGTAGGATATATTATTTGAGAGCGTAGACCAAGACTTTTGTAACACGAATAAGGCCAAATTTAGCTAAATATTGAAAATTGAACAATATGTCACACTACAATACAGATATATTGCCCAAGAATTTCTCCAAATCTCGTACCAATTTCTCACACATTTGTTTTTCATCAATGGCAGACTCTATTCTCTTCAATCTTGCTGGAACCCTTATAACAAAATTGGGCTCTTACGCCCTCCAAGAACTTGGACTGCTCTTGGGTGTCAACGATGAGCTTGAGAAGCTCAAAGACACCGTTTCTGCCATTGAAGCCGTGCTTCTCGATGCAGAGGAGCAGCCATCCAAGAGCCATGCACTGAAGGATTGGCTTTCAAAGCTTAAGGATGTTTTCTACGAGATTGATGACCTGATCGATGAGTTCGAATATGAAGCTTTGAGAAGACAAGTTATGACGAGAAATAGAACAAAAACCAAACAGGTCCGTATATTCTTCTCCAAATCTAATCAGATTGCGTTTAGTCACAAGATGGTTGGGAAAATTAAGGAAATCAGGGAGAGGCTAAAAGTTATTAATGATGATAGAACTCAATTCCACCTATCTGAGCGTGTGATAAATAATCCAACGGTTGGTAATGCCTTGAGGAATATACGTGACCCCGGCGATTATATACTTGAAGAGGAGGTGATCGGTAGAAATGATGACAAGAAAGTAATCATAGATCTTCAATTAAGTTCCAACACTAGAGAAAATATTGCTGTTGTTGCTACAGTTGGAATGGGAGGATTAGGAAAGACTACCCTTGCTCAATCTGTCTATAACGATAAGATGATGGCAAAACATTTTGAATTGAAGTTGTGGGTGTGTATTTCTGAAGAATTTGAAGTAAAACTTATTATTCAAAATATAATAGAGTATGCAACTGGGGAGAAACCTGAATCGTTCCTTCAAATGGCTCTCTTGCAAACTAAACTTCGAAAGCTTGTGGATGGAAAAAGATATTTGCTTGTGATGGATGATGTGTGGAATGAGGATCGTGAAAAATGGGATACTTTGAAAAGATTTCTAATTGGTGGTACAAAGGGGAGTAAGATTTTGATCACAACACGTAGCCACCAAGTTGCAAATACTTTTGATCCAACTTCATTGCATCCTTTAGAAGAACTAAATAACAACAACTCTTGGTTATTGTTTCAAAGATAGGGAACTTTATCAAATTATGGAACAAGGAGGCCTAAAAACCATGCTATCAATACTTAAGCTTAGTTGTAACCACCTCCCTCCTAATTTGAAGCAATGTTTCCAGTATTGTGCTTTGTTCCCCAAAGATTTTGAGATTCGAAAGGATGAAGTAATAATGCAAGGGATGGCACAAGGTTTCATTCAACCAAATGACAAAGATAAGCTTGTTGATATTGGTGAAGATTATTTTATGGAGCTATTATCAAAGTCATTCTTTCAAGACGTCAAAAAAGATGCATTGGGAGACATAATTACATGTAAGATGCATGACTTGATGCATGATATTGCTTGTTCAGAGAATGATATGAATGCCCCCACACTCAACAAAAGAACTCGTCATGTTTCATTGGACTTAACATCAGGGGAAGAATTGGAAAAACTTCCGAAAAAACTATATGAGACAAGAAATTTGAGGACATGTTTTCTGCAATATGATCTATATAATTCCATCGGGAGCGATAACAATTTCAATAAAATATTTTCAAGTGTCTTTTATAATCTTTTGAGATTACGGACATTGGGCTTGCAGTTGATTATTGACAACCAGAGTGTAAAGCTTCTTAAATGCATTAACAACTTGAAACATTTGAGATATCTGAAAATAGAGATCATTACCTATACTAAATTTTTTCTGAATTCTATTTCTGGATTGTACAATTTGGAAGTACTTATCGTCAGATGTACAGGGTTAAAAGAATTTCCTAGAGATATAAAAAATTTGACCAACCTTAAACATCTTGAACTTATTGGGAATCCGAATATAGAATTCTTTCCAAACTCTATTATTGAGTTGAATAATTTGGAAAGACTTTTCCTCCGGGGCTATAATAAGGTAAAAGAATTGCCGCAAGATATCCAAAACTTGATCCACCTTCAGCGTCTTGATCTTGGTCGGAATAGCAATATAGAATTTCTCCCGGATTCTATTACTGAGTTGTATGAATTAAAAACACTCATCCTTGAAGAATGTACAAAATTAAAAGAATTGCCTAGAGATGTCCAAAATTTGATTAATCTTAGGCATCTCGATCTTTCAAATACTGCTATAGAATTCCTTCCGAGTTCTATTACTCAATTAAAAAATTTGGAAACACTTCTCCTTTATCTTTGTGATAAATTAAAAGAATTACCGGAAGATACGAGAAACTTGATCAACCTTAGGCATCTTAGTATATGCGGATGCAAGGCTTTGACTCATATGCCAAAAGGACTAGGTGAGCTGACTCATCTTCAAAGATTGGATGTATTTATGTTAGGAAAGGATAATAATGGTGGTGGATTAAGAGAGTTGGATGGACTTAACAAGTTAAGTGGATTATTAAAGATTGAAGGATTGCAATTTTGTTCAACTGTTGATCTACAAACGAACGCTAAGTTCTTGCAACGGAAGTCAGGTCTTCAATATTTGCAGTTAGAGTGGAACGACGATTCATTTAATGAGCCTACAATCGGTGCTTCGGACTATGACTACGAAAGAGTTTTAGAATGCCTACCGCCACATTCAAATCTTCAACAAATATGTATACGGGGATACAAAGGAGTAAAGTTATGTAATTGGCTATCCTCTACCTCTTATTCCTTTGGTGGTATGATCCACATGGAATTTTCATCTTGTGAAAGATTGCGGCACCTTCCTCAATTTGATCTATTTCCTAATCTCAAGGTCCTTTGTCTTCATGACTTGCCCTCTATCGAATACATTGTAGGCAACCATAATTATCCTTGTTCATCAACTTTCTTTCCATCCCTCGAGACTTTTATCATTTCAGACATGCCTAACTTGAAGAGATGGTGGAGGAAGGGTCAAACCTCAACAAAATCTGCTCAAAACCGTGTCTTGTTTCCTGTAGTATTTCCTTGCCTCTCTGAATTAATCATTTGGAAATGTCCTCTGCTTGCTTCGGTTACATGTGATGCACCTATGAAGTCATTGGAAATAAATGATGAATTTGATGTTGTATCGTGGAAAAGTTTTCAAAGTCTCTCCATTCTGCTTATTTCCTCCGTTTCCCAATGGGAGTTTTTGTCCAATTGTTTGCAACATGTGACCACTCTTCAACAGTTGGATACAAAAGACTGTCCAAATTTGACGAGTCTACCAGAATCGATTGGCAACCTCACATCACTCTCAAAATTGCTGTTGGTGCATTGTCCAGATTTAATAAGTCTACCAGAATCGATCGGCAATACATCACTCTCAAAATTGAGGATTTCTAATTGTCCAGATTTATCGAGTCTACCAGAATCGATGGGCAACCTTACCTCGCTTACAGAATTGGAGATTAGTTGTTGTCCAAAGATAACTTCGTTGCCGGAAGGGATTCGCCACCTCTACTGTTTACAATCGTTGAAAATTATATGCTCTCCCATATTATTGAATGAAAGGTGCAATGAAGAAACAGAAGAAGATTGGCCTAAAATCCCCAATGTAAACATTTATTGAATCTATAAATCCTCCAAAGGTATGCAAAGCAATTTTCTTTCAATGCAACAATTTCCTCCGTCAAACTTATTTCAATTTATTTCTCTACTTTTGTCTTTCTATAGCCATTACAATTTATGTCTCATCGCACTCTAAAAGCAGCAGATTTGTTATGGCCAGAAGAGATGTGCCACTGCCTTGATCACCTTGACTCTCGAGCCCATTCAAGGCCAACAATTGCACACGATTTCTCCAAAATTGCCAAATCTTTGGAAGATTCACTATTTGGCATAAATTCTTACACAAAATGACCAAATCATTCAGGCATATGAATAGCTAACTCCCTCTGTGCTTCCTTCAAAACTCACACACAAGTCCCACTGACATAGTAATTTCTTCTTATTTCTACATTTTTCTTCGAACATTGTAATGGTTTTTCATAACCAGTCAGTATATCAATATTTTCATTATTTTCTTTCACTTACTTCATGAGCAGAAGAACCGAAGCCCAAAACTTGGAAAACAAATTCCAAGAGTCAGAGAATAGTCAACTTCAAAATGAGTAATGATCCATGTTGATGCAGTATTCCGTCGAGCTCCACAGGTCGGTCACGAGCTAACTAGAGCGAGCTACCGATGTGCGACCTTTGAGACAATGAGACCTGTAGAAGGAACAAACACTCTGGTGTCCAAGTTAGTGTGAACATTTCTCGGAGCATAATAGCGCGTACCTGAAATATGGGGTGGAGTGTCCCCTTTTATAGGCAGGTGGGGGAGACAAGGCTGTTGGAGCCGTTCCCACGGGCGGTTACGGTTGTCGGCCCCCAAGTCGATTGTCTGATTCTTCAGGTCAGTTGGGGTTTCTAACTCTTCTCAGCTCAGTAATCAGTAAGGTCGGTAACTTCGATTTACTTGATTTTTCCCTTTTGTTGATCGCGGAACTGAGCAGGTGCATCCACGTGTCAATTGCTAAATTTCACCTCCAACGATCGAATTGTCTCCCCTGCATGCTCCTCTCTTTTCTCATAAAGTTAAGAACTTGTGCAAATTGGGATTTGATAATTTTGGTTAGGATTTCATTATATAATTGTAGATCAATCTCTAATATTAGTGCTGGGGTTTCTAACATTAATGTTGCAGGATGAGTTTGTTTTTAATCATATCAATGCTTTGCTGCTGAATATAGATGGGAGATAGAAGCCAAGAGTTGGAGGTATCCACATACAACCTCCTCTTTGCTCTTTCTTCAAACTCACACAAGCCCCACATATGTTACCTTCTTATTTCCATTGTTTTTTCTTTTATTTTAACACATTAGAACCACTTTTTAATGGTGATCTAGTGACTTGCACTTTATGGTTCAAGGGAGAGAACAAAAGTAAAGAAGAAGAGAGAAGACTATTTGGAAGTTTCAAAGGCTTAAAATTGGCAACCTTCAAGCTCTTCTCTAGTGATTTGCTAAAAAGTACTTTCATTTCTTTTAATTTTCTAGATGTGTCTGATGCATAAAAACTGCAAAGATAGGCCTTTATTTAGCTTATGTATTTTTTTTATTACTCAGGAGTTTATGGTCATTTGACCTTTATGTTCCTATACCAAGCGATGACTTATTGTGTATGTACGGGTATGAATTTCTTGAGGCCTCAAATCATCCAAACTATTCCTTAGGAACAGTTTTTCAATCCTGTAGGTTTGTTCTTGAATCCTTAACCTAATATAGAGTACATTGACAAGTACAAATGGTTATCTTTAATTCCTTCATCAACATATTCTTTCCATTCCCAATAAATTAGAAATTTCAAATATGCCTAACTTAAAGGGATGTTGGACAGGTGAAATGCCAAGGGAATTAATTACTTCTCTATCTCTGGTGAGAATTCTTGAATTAAAGCATTGTCTGCATTGCAACAGGTGACAAAAATTCAAGATTTGTGTATGGATTGACAACCTCGCATCACTCTCATCACTGATTATTTGGGGTTGTATAAACCTTCATCAGGTATGCTACACCATTTCCTCTCATTTTTTTTTTTAAATTTCTTCAAAATTATATGGTTTCCTTTAGTAAAATTTAAGGTTTGTTTCGATAACGTTTCCTGTTTCTTCATTTTTAATAAAAAAAATGAATTGCATGACTCCAACATCCATGATTCAAGTGTCATCAAATAATATTTTTCTTTATGTTCTAAAACAAATTGGAAATGAGAACAATGACGAAGAAACTTATTTGGTTCGTTTTCAAAATTTTTATACAATTTCGAGAATGATCAAAATTTTTTTAATCTCTTTGTACAGTCGTTAGAGCTGCTGATTTTTATGGCCCCAACCACTGAATCCTGGCGACCAGAACGGACGTGGCACCGCCTTGATCCTGTGGAGAGATGCAAGCAAAGAATTTAGCTTAGTTTATACACAAAATTACCAAAATAACCTCTTTGCTTCCTCCAAACTCACACAACTACTACCCATGATTTTTCCTATAAATTTATAAAACTTAATTCACGGTGAGTGGACATAAATTTAGGCAAAAAAAAAAAATTCATTTAAAAGTTGAAAATTTCCGCAAATTTCTGAAGGAGAAATTAGAATTTTCATTTCTTGTAAGTATTTATTTAATATTTTACCCATGAGAATGGTATAATTGAAAATTGTTAAAACGTAATTTGAGATTAAATTCAAACTTTTAAACAATAGAGATTAAACTGAAAAAACCCAAGAATATTAGGGAGTGGGTGTACATTTAGCCTTTTCTTCCAACACTGAAACGCTTTGCAATAGTCAGTATTTCAATATTTTCTCTTAATGACTTCATGAGTAGAAGCAACCAAGCCCAAAACTTGGAACAAATTCCAAAAGTCAGAGAACAAAATGGGTAATGACCAAATTGTTTGTTTATTCTCAGTCTAAGAACTTGTGCAATTTGGGTAGTTGGGATGTGATTAATTTTGGTTAATTGTCGATTAATCTCTAATTCTGAAGGATATGCTTTGCATTTTCTGCTGAATATACACAGAGGAGAGATATAGAAGCCAAGAATTGGAGGTACCCACATAGCCACATCTTTGCTTTCTTCAAACTCACCTATGCCTGAAAGTAATTCTCTCATTTTTCAAAGTTTCTACACCAAAAAATCAGTATTATTTATTTAACTGATTTCATGACCAGAAGCCAAGCACAAAACTTGCAAACAGATTCTATAAGTTCGAGGACAGCCAATCACAGAATGGGCAATGATATAATTAGCTTCTTATGCTCATCATTTTTTCTCTGGTAACAATCTACCAATTTGAGATTTAATAATTTTTGGCTTCGGTGTGTTCATTGTACACTTGTCGTGTCTACTATTGAAACTGAAGGATTGAGTTGGTTTTGTGAATCTTATCTGTTGAATCAAAGAAATTGATCAACACCACGAATGTTGGTTCGGTAAGGGACGATGACCTAGACAGTGAGCTGAAAGTGCTGAGCAGAAGACCTGCAAAACATAACACACACTCCGATGTCAAAGTCAGTAAATGGTCGAACTAAACTCGAGAGAGAATTTAGTGTTCGCGTACCTCAAAATGAAGTGAAATTGTTCTATTTATAGGCGAAATTTCTGACAGTATTCCCGACAAGACCTCCATGATTCGTTACGGTTGTTGTGAATCCGACATGTTGTCGTAGAGTTTGTCAGAGACGAAGTTGAGCCGAGGCGAAGCAATTAGTTCAATCTATAACTTGGGAATGGGTTTTTTGGTAAGCCTGGTGGGCTCGGCCACCAAGAAAATTGGCTCGGTCATGGGAACAAGACCGATGTGATGAAACGAGCTTTAATAATGGCTTAAAAGCCACGTGAGACAGGCATAAGTCAATCATCATTGAGCTGGAAATCCACCTCCCAACATTACCCTTTTCACTTGTTTCTATACTATATAACAGATGGAGGTGGTGAAAGCAAGGAAAGAGATAATCCAAACTGACATGAGTGAAGGAGACAATGATTTGGTGCCAATTTTAAGAGATTTTTATTTTTATTTTATTTTGGTGTAATATTGTCAAATTTCCAATATGTTTATCTTAATATATATCTATCTAGTTAGAACTAGATAAAACTCTGTGTGCATGTTGTTATTGATAGTGAAGATTTTAACTACGATCATGTGGTTTTTTCCTCGTCGATTTAGAGAGGTTTTTCTACGTTAAAATTGTCGGTGTAATGTGTTTGTTTATATTGTTTTTGCTTGTTTAATTCATAGTATAAATTCACACGAGAGGAGATAATTGATCAGGAATCGAACTTGTTTTAATCCATCAATGAGGCCGAATGAATAGTATGAATAGTTGAATATTTATAACAGACATGTTTTGTTGCCTTGTCTTGTAGCTATGCCTCCATATCTCTGTTTTGGCTTTCAAAATAATGATTGGTTTCTCCAAGATTTACGTTCAACGAGCAATTTCCACATTCCACGCAACAAAAATGGAAGTCAATCTTTAGATGAAAAGTTGGACTCAAATGCAAAGGGAGTCCCTCATTAAGCAACTGCCATGTAAATGTATTATATCTTTCATTTGTTCCAATATAAAGAAGAGTTTAGTGGTGAAACCAAGTTAAAAGCTTTTTTTTTTTTTTTTTTAATCAGTCATCTCAGAAATCAAGTTGACAGAACTAATAATTTTTTGTATCAAAATTATAGCGGTAACTTGGTTGCAGCTTGTCAAAACGAGCATAGTCAAGTGATAATATATTGATGCACTTATCTCCAATTAAGAGGTTATAAGTTCGAACTCCACCTAACTTTTCCTTTTCATCCCTTTAATATTTGTGGTCAGTGGACCAAATAGGTTGTATAGTTTTTTGATGTGTGGTAAAATTTAAAAAGGACAATTTTCTGTCACTTTTTGCTTTAATCCCTCTTATTTCAGTCACTTACTCACTCATGTACTGGTGCTTGTTTATGGGTTTGGCCTTTTTTTTTTGGTTTCAAAATTGATTTGCTTGCTTCTTTTGCTATGATTTCTTTGCAATCATATTCCTTATAGGATAATGGCAAATTTATGTCTGCTAGGCTAAAAAATTCAAGTGGAATCAAAACAAGTTTGAGCTGTATCTCTTTCCTACTTTATTTACAGGATAATTGAAACTTTAGATGACCATGATAGTTGAAATATGTCCATGCAAATAAATTAAGCATCTTTTTTACTTTTTCTTTATTTTGTATGTGATGTCGTAGGCTTTTTATGTTGTTTACATTAAAAAGCTTAGTTTTGTTGTTGCAAATTTTTCTTGAGATCTAACCAATATGAAAGACATTCTACTGTGATTCAAACAGAGTTGGACTTGACTGAGCAAACTTGTGTGGATAAGAGTTCCACACTCATCTATAAAAATGGGTAATGGGTAATGGGTAATGATCAAATTTCATTTTCATTTTTCTTGTCTTTTCAACTCACTAATTTTGGGTTGATGGGAGATTATAATTTTGTTTTGTGTCCCATTGCTTAACCCAAGTTTAATATATGTTGTTGAAAACTAGTTTTGTTTTTGTTTTTATTGGTATCTAATCAGTCATCTTGGCATAGTGCATATGAAGAGACAAAAAGACAATCTTTTGATGTCTATGATCTCCCAGCCTTCAATCCTCACTCTCACGTAATTCACTAAAAAAAAAAATAAAGATTAAATATATAATATAGTATAGAAATGAAAGTTAAGACAATTATGACACTACCTTGTTTTTTGTTCATTGGCATGAAAATAATATAAGAAATATTTCGTATATATTTATTATGGATATAATAGATATTATATAAATAGGATTCTAGTGAATCGAGACATGTACCGAAGCAAACAAATGAAACGAGATGATTTGGTAAAAAGAAAATGAACCGTTGTTGGTTACTTTTATTGAAGTAATGATTTAGTCATTGAACATTAATTTGTAACTACTAACTTCATTTATTTTTAAATTAATAACATTTAGTTTATGTGGTTTAAAATTTGTAAAACAATTTAGTCCTTATTAATTTTACAATAAAGATTAAATTCTTACCGAATTTAAATTACAAGAATTAAATTATTATAAACTATAATGATTTAGTGCAATTTGACATTACAAACTAAAATAAATATGCAGTAGAATGAAAGTAGGATTAAAGTATTTTTTTAACCTTGTATTTTGTATCCGCTATAAACCCACAGGAAAGGTTGCAGCCTTTATTTGTTTAGCTAAACAGATCCAGATCTCCCGGTTAAAAATGGCCAGATTACATAAAATATTGTGGTTCCTCGAACATATTTAAAAAAAGAAAACATTATAAAATTTCGTTCTTGGAAACCGTGGAATTTATAAGTTTAAATTCATCAAAACATATCTTTTTAATAAGATACTGTGGTTGAACCCAAGCAATAATAGTTTTAACTTTTCCTGGAAAAAAGAAAAGAGGAAAAAAAAAAAAAAATGGGTGGAGGTGGACTACAAATAGAGCAGGAGCCACACCAGCTTTTCACATACTTTCCCAGATCTGATACAAACTTAAACTTGTTGCAATCCAATGGCGCAATCAATTTTGTTCAATGTTGCGGGCAGCCTTATAATGAAACTGGGCTCTCTTGCATTCCGAGAGCTTGCTTTACTCTGGGGTGTTGATGATGAGCTTGAAAAACTCAAAGACGCTGTTTCTGCCATTAAAGCCGTACTTTTGGATGCAGAGGAGCAGCAGTACAAGAGCCACGCGGTGAAGAATTGGGTTTCGAGGCTTAAAGATGTTCTCTACGATGTTGACGACTTGATTGATGAGTTCTCTTATGAAACCTTGAGAAGACAAGTTAAGGCCAAAGATGGACGAAAGCCTGAACAGGTATGTATGTTCTTCTCCAAGTCAAATCCAGTTGCATTTGGTTTTAGAATGGGTCAAACAATAAAGGACATTAGGGAGAAATTAAATGGCATTAATGCTGATAAAACCCAATTTCACTTTTCTGAGCGTACGATGGACACGCCAGATGATGGGCTTAGGAAGGGACGAGAGACTTACTCTTTTATACCTGAAGGTGAAGTAATTGGTAGGGATGATGACAGAAAAGCAATTGCAGATCTTTTGTTAGATACCAACTTCAAAGAGGATATTGCAGTGATTGCTATAGTTGGAATGGGAGGATTAGGAAAGACCACACTTGCTCAATCTGTCTATAACGATGAGATGATAAGAAAACATTTTGCACTAAAATTGTGGGTGTGTGTTTCTGAAGAATTTGATGTTAAAATTATTGTAGAAAAGATTCTGGAGTCTGCAACAATGAAGAGGCACGGGCCTTTTGAAATAGATACATTGCAAAGTTTACTTCGAAAGGAAATTGATGGAAAGAAATATCTATTCGTCATGGATGATGTGTGGAATGAGAACTATGAGAAATGGGTCCATTTGAAAAGATTATTAATGTGTGGAGCAACTGGAAGTAGGATTTTGATCACCACGCGTAGTATACAAGTTGCAAAAACATTTGATGTAGTATCACTATATCCTTTAGAAAATCTAAATGAAGACGACTCGTGGTTATTGTTTAAAAAGATGGCATCTTTGAAAGGAGCAGAAGAAGAGCTTGGAAATTCAAATCTTTTCAAAATTGGCAAAGAGATTGTTGCAAAGTTGAAAGGTGTTCCTCTTGCAATAAGAACTATTTGGAGACTTCTATGTTCCAAAAAATCAGAAGCTGACTGGTTATTTTTCAAAAATAATGAACTTTCAAGAGCGGTACGACAAGAAAATGAGATGCAATCAATACTTAAGATTAGTTATAACCACCTTTCGTCTAATTTAAAGCAATGTTTTGCATATTGTGCTTTATTCCCTAAAAATTATGAGATTCGAAAGGATGAGGTGATAAAGCAATGGGTAGCACAAGGTTTTATTCAACCACAGAGTATTAAAGCAATTGAAGATGTTGGTGAAGATTATTTTATGGAGTTATTGTGGAGGTCGTTCTTTCAAGATATAAGGAGTAATGAATTGGGAGACATCAAACAGTTTAAGATGCACGACTTAATGCATGATCTTGCATGTTCGATAGATGAAAATGAATGCGTGCTTGCTAGTTTGAATGCTAGGTCTATCGTAAAAAGAACTCGACACGTGTTATTTGAGTTTAAGTTAAATGAAACGTGGGAACTTCCAGAATCATTAATTGAGGCAAAGAATTTGACAACATTGTATAATCCTCCATTTGATCGTAAGAAACCCCTCCACAAGATGTTTTCTAATCATTTGCGATTACGAACATTGGTTCTGGTGTATAGCTTTATTATAGAATTGCCCAAGTCCACTAGCAAGTTGAAACATTTGCGATATCTTGACCTTAGTTGTAATAATTATATAGAATTCCTTCCAAATTCTATCACTGAATTGTATAATTTGGAAACACTTCTCCTTTGTGGTTGCACAGGTTCGAGAACATTGCCAAGAGATACTAAAAATTTGATCAGCCTTAGACATCTTGATATGTGTGATTGTTATGCATTGACTCATATGCCAAAAGGATTGGGTGAGATGACTAGTCTTCAGACAATGAATTTATTTGTATTAGGAGATACTAATAGCAACGGATTAAGTGAGTTGAATGGACTTGGAAATTTGAAGGGATCGTTAACTATTCGAGATTTACAATTTCAGACTATTGGTGATTTACAAAAAAATGCTTATTACTTGAAATTAAAGTCAGGAATTAAACGGTTGATGTTACATTGGAAGGATGGTCGTGGAAAGAAGTCTAAAATTGTTGCCTTGGATGATGAAGAAAGAGTTTTAGAATGCTTAGAACCACATCCAAATCTTCAAAAGATAGAAATATTGGGATACCATGGAGCAAGGCTTTGTAATTGGCTATCCTCTGATTCGCTTGTTCGTCTGGTCACCATAAAACTTTCACATTGTAGTAGATTGCAGCAGCTCCCTCAATTTGATCAATATCCTTTTCTCAAGCATCTTTGTCTTGAATCCTTGATCTGTATCGAGTACATTGACAACAATAGTAATATTTACCTTTCTTCATCAACGTTCTTCCCATCCCTTGAGAAATTAGAAATTTCAACCATGCCAAACTTGAAGGGATGGTGGAAAGGCGAAACGTCAGGGGAATTAGCTCAAAATAGTGTCTCATTTCCAACAATGATGCCTTGCCTTTCTACGTGACTAATTGAGCGTTGTGGTCAGTTGGCTTCAATTCCATGGCATGCACCTTTGAAATTAGTGAAAATAAAAAATGTTAATTCACAGCTGTTTCATTCATTAATGAAAACGGCAACAAACCTTGCTATAGAGTCTTCTCCTACTCGGTCGTCTAAATTGTCTTCGCTTCACCTTGAAGATGTTGAACATCTTGAGTTTCTGCCAGAAGAATTATTCCACAACTTGCCATCTCTTAAGATTCTTAAAATAACAAATTGTGCACATATGCAAATGTTATCTCCTCCTGCTGCTCAACCGGATGACAATGGTGTACTGTGGAAAGAACTTAATAGTCTTCGTTCTCTATCTCTTAAGAGTATTCCAAAACTAGAGCATTTGCCTCAGGCTCTAAAACACGTGACAACTCTTCAAGATTTGGTTATAACTGAATGTCCAAATTTAATGATTGTACCAGAATGGATTGGCAACCTCACATCACTCTCATCATTGGTTGTTTAGAGTTGTACAAAGCTAACTTCGTTACCTGAAGGAATTGGCAACCTCGTTTCACTAACAAGGTTGGAAGTTTCTCACTGTTCCAACTTTACTGCACTATCGGAAGAGATCTGTCGCCTTGTTTCACTGCCAAGCTTGAGAATTAGTGACTGTCCTAATTTCACTTCACTGCCCGAAGGGATTTGCCACCTTACTTCACTGTCATATTTGTACCTTTCTTACTGTCCTAATTTAATTCCACTGCCGGAAGGGATCCGCCACCTGCGCTCATTACGAGAGATGCAAATTTATGGGTGCCCCGAATTGATAGAAAGGTGCAAGAAAAGAAATGGAGAAGATTGGCCTAAAATCGCGCATGTCCCTCACGTTTATCCGGAACCTTAACATGGAAGATAACAAAAACTGGGTGAATTCAACAAACCAGCTTCCTCAGGTACCTGAAGGTTTGTTTCGTTTGCAAGCTTTTAACTTTCAACCCTCAACCCTCATTTGAGTTTCTCTCTATTTTTCTTTACAGCCATTAGATTACAACTTCTTGTGGAGAGATGCAAGCTAAGCCAAGAATCATTTCTCATCAGTCATCTCTGATCATTTTGCTCATTGGCTTAATCTGATACAGATCATTCAGGTAACCTCTTTTGCTTTTCTTCCAAACTCACACAACTACCATTATCTTCTTTCTTACTTCCACCTCCTTTTTTCCACTATGTTTTAATCTCTAATATTTAGGTTTTTTTTTTTCAATTTAGTTCCTATGATTTAGAAAATTCAATATAATCCCTCGTGTTTCAATGTTTTTAGTAATACCTTTTCATATCGATAATCATTGAAATTGGTTGATGGTAAGCTTATATAACATTATACTTATTGAATTAACATAATCTCAATAATCTTGTCAATGTTTTCCTGTTAGAACTTAGAATATTGAGGAGAAGACCTACTGAGTAAGACATCAAGTATGATAGACACAAGTGAAGGAAAGAGGTGATCCAAAATAATGTTGTTTGAACCCTTTTGGACTTTCTCTCCTTTCGAGCAACATGAATAAACGAGAGATGATATAGTTGAATGCCACCTTGAACTGAGTTTTTTTTTTCTTCTTATTTTTGCTCTTGTAATAATATTGTCGATTTTTCATGATATATTTATCTCTCTTTTGTGTGTGCCTCTCGTTTGGATTGGAGAGAGCTTTTGTGTATCTAATATTGTTGATAGTGGAGATTTTGACTACGGTCACGTTGTTTTTACTCCTCGAGAAGATTTTTCCATGTTAAAATTATTGGTGTTTTGTATTTGTTTATATTATTAGTTCCTATTAGATTCACACTGGTGCGGATTATTAGTCCTTAAGCCAGAATTGTTTATCGTATATCTAGTTAATTGTCAATAAATTCGATATTTCCAAGATTTCTGTTCAGCCATTAATCTCATAGGGCAAGCAGTTTCCAAGAGGGGAAATTGTCATTTCCAAAAGTTAAAATTGAATTTTATGAAATGGGAATGAAAAAATTATGAGTCCCACCCTTTAATTTTCATTCCTATAGTTTGATAAACATCAAAAAAATCGAATAGTCAAATTACATTAAAATATTTCATTGTCTCCAGAGGTGAGGTGTTCCTAGGAAAGAGTGACCATTTGCTTATTTGTTTTTAGAGTAAATTGCACAAATCACCCCTAAAGTATGATGATTGTGACAATTTTTCGCCCTCAAGCTTTCAATTGTATAAATTGAACCCTTAAACTTTTAGAGGTGGCAAAATTACACCATTAAATCTATTAAAAAAATTTGACACTTGAATTTTCAAAATTTATAAATTAAAACCTTCGAACTTTTTGTAATTAAAAAGAATTAAATCTATTTTTAATATTCTCTCCCCCATTTTCTCCTCTCTTTCTTCACACTGCCATGCCATGGGATCTGCGGGCCGGATTTCGAGTTGTTTCTGGAGTAGGACCCATTTTCCAACGAACTGTTCGATACTTCAACTCCTTCGTTTGATTATGGAGTTGAAAATTTTGACACATTAAGATTCATTCCTCTGGAATTTCTGAAGAACCTGACGATTTTAGTTTCAAAAATTTGCCCTTTTTTTTCTTTTTTTCTCTCTCTCTAGCATCGATTAAAAGTAGTAGTATTCGAACTACTTCAATTTCAGTAGATCAATGAACCTGATAATTTATTTTAGCTTGGCCATGGATTCTTCCGTTGAAGAAACCCAAATTAGTCAAGAAAAAATTGTGTATAATTGTATCGGTACGAAAGTTGGAGGATTTAATTTTTACCATGAAAGTTTATGGGTATAATTTTTAAATTTGTAAAAGTTTAAGGGCTTAATTTTTACGATTCAAACTTTAGGGGTGCAATTATAATAACAATGATACTTTAAGAGTGGTTTATACAATTTACCCTTGTTTTTATTAACTTTTTTTTTTTAATCTATAAACACATTTCAAATTTTAATTTGTATGCAAAATTGAGCCTAGCTCAAGTGGTTAAAACACATATTTATGATCAAAAGGTCATGAGTTCAACTCCACCCTAAAGTTATACTTTATATAGAAACATTATGTTATTATTTAAGTTATAGTAAGACATATTTAACAAATATTTAAAATGTTGATATCGAGGAAAATGTCGAGCTTCCAATTTTACGAAGGGCAAAAATAATTTTGAGAATATTTGTGAAAATCATGAAAACTTATAGAAATTGTTTAGTTAATAAATGAAAATTTAATTGTGGCTTAATTAGACTAAAATTAAACCACTTCAATCTCCAAATTTGTATATTTATGTTGATATTTTTTAAATGATTAAAAAATGAAAAAATTTTATAATTTTACTACCATGATATAAATAATTTTAATATTTTTATAACCAAAAATAATTTTAGTATAAATATATGGGTAGAAATATTTGAATATCTTATATAGTAACTAAAAAAATGAAATATAAAAATCTGAAAGAATTTGTATAAATTATTATTTTTACAACAACAAATAATGTAAAAAGTAAAATCGAGAAATAAAAAAAATAAAAAATAATGGAGATGTGTGGAGGAAGAGATCAGGGGAGAGTCAATTGAGGCTAATCTCATCCACACCTACGAGGTCGTATGAATCCTATAAAATCATCATTCTTTCCTACAAAATTAAGAAATACAAAATTCAAAATAGATGAGTTAATTATCTCCTACAAGATTGTTTATAAATTTAATTAGATCTAACTATGGAACATTTCCTTAAACAATAGAACAAAATAAACAGTGAAAAATATCTGACTACACAAATCCAGGTTATCCAACCCTGCACCCCAAACACAGGCTCCACAACATCCCGGATATCAAACTCCTAAACTTAACAAACTCAGGCTACTGATTCCAAACCCATGTGGGCCAAACATCCCATGGATTCTTATAAAAGTACTTCAAAAACTTTTTTTGATCTCTTTCCAATTTTGGAACCACTACTTTTCGATTATTGAAAAAAAAAAGTGTTTTCATCTACAGTTATATAAAAAGTTGAAGTTGAAATACCGTCTAATTTAATCATGTTTAATTTGATCTTAATAATAATCTCTCGAATACTTATTCGTTTGCCATGGAACCGCCGAAGTAAACCCATGTTGGCTTTAGAATATTATTTATGCTTTAATAAAATGAAAATAGTAAAGATAATATATGAAACCAAAATTTCATAATATTTCAAGATAATGAATAAAATGGTAGGTACGAATTGCAATCATTCTGAGGTTGACATCCAAAGAAACTTTATTATGCATTTGGAAGTTTATGGCAAGTGGTGTCTGATTTAGGCCATGTGACTCCTTGTCCCTTCACTATTCTCAATGTTAGTGCATACATTTGAAAGCATGCATTGGGCAACAACAAACTCATGAGTTGTTAAAAAGCCTTAAATACCAACTTACTCATTTTCCATCAATGGCTGAATCAATTTTATTCGATGTTGCGGGGAGCCTTATCATGAAATTGGGCTCTCACGCATTTAGAAGTCTAGGATCCATCTGGGGTCTCAGTGATGAGCTTGACAAACTTGAAGACACTATTTCCACCATTAAAACCGTACTTCTTGATGCAGAGGAGCAGCAGTCCTTGATGCAGAGGAGCAGCAGTCCAAGAGCCACGCATTGAAGAATTGGGTTTCAAGGCTTAAAGATGCCCTCTACGACGCTGATGACTTGATTGATGAGTTCTCTTATGAAACCTTGAGGACACAGGTTAATGCCAAAGGTGGAAGAAAGACCAAACAGGTATGACTCTTCTTCTACCAATCAAACCGTATTAAAATGGTTTGCAAACTAAAGGAAATTAGGGACAAACTATATGCTATTGATGTTGATCAAAAAACACAATTCAACTTTTTGGTGGGTATGATGGATATGCGAGATGATGGAAATAGGAAGGAACGAGAGACTTACTCTTTTATACCTGAAGGGGAAGTGATTGGTAGGGTTGATGAAAGGAAAATAATCATTGATCTTTTGTAGGATACAAACTTTGAAGAGAATATTGGAGTGATTGCCATAGCTGGAATTGGAGGATTAGGAAAGACCACACTTGCTCAATCTATTTATAATGATGTGATGATAACAAAACATTTTGAGCTGAAATTATGGATGTGTGTTTATGAAGATTTTGATGTTAAAATTATTGCAGAAAAGATTCTAGAGTCTGCTACAAAGAAGAGATGTGAGCCCCCTGAGATGGATACATTGCTAAGTTTACTTCGAAAGGAAATTGATGGCAAAAAATATCTACTCATTATGGATGACGTGTGGAATGAGAATTATGAGAAATGGGTTAATTTGAAAATGTTGTTAGTGGGTGAGGCAACTGGTAGTAGAATTTTGATCACCACACGTAGTAAACAGGTTGCAGAAACATTTGATGTGTCATTCTTATATTATTTAGATTTTCTAAATGAACACGATTCTTGGTTATTGTTTAAAAAAATGACATCTTTGGAGGGAGCAGAAGAAGAGCTTGAGAATTCAAATCTTATCAAAATGGGCAAGGAGATTGTGGCAAAGTTGAAAGGTGTTTCTCTTGCGATAAGAACTATTGGGCGGCTTCTATATTCCAAAAAATCTGAAGTTGATTGGTTGTCTTTCAAAGACAATGAACTTTCAAAAGCTACCTACCCAACAAGAGAATGAGATGCAATCCATCCTTAAGATCAGTTATAACCACCTCTCATCTAATTTAAAGCAATGTTTTGCTTTTTGTGCTTTATTCCCTAAAGATTATGATATTGAAAAGCATGAAGTGATAAAGCAATGGGTCGCACAAGGTTTCATTCAACCACATGGTATAAAGACAATAGAAGATGTTGGTGATAGATTATTTTATGGAGTTATTGTGGAGGTCGCGTTCTTCCAAGATATTAGGAATGATGAATTTGGAGAGACCAAGCAGTGCAAGATGCACGATTTAATGCATGATCTTGCATGTTCAATAGTTGAAAATGAATGTGTTCTTGCAAGTGCGGATGTTAGGTCTATTGTAAAAAGAACTCGACATGTGTTATTTGAGTCAAACTCAAATAAAGAGTTTAAACTTCCAGAAATTTTAACAAAGGCAAAGAATTTGAGAACATTATACGATCCTCCTATTGATGATAAGAAAATCTTCAACGGAACCATTTCTATTCATTTGCAATTACGAATATTGGTTTTGAGGTATTAAAGTAAGAATTATCCAAGTCTATTGACAAGTTGAAACATTTGAGATATCTCGACCTTACTAATAGTAATGATATAAAATTCCTTCCAAATTCCATTACTGAATTATATAATTTGGAAACACTTATCCTTCGGGGCTGCGAGGAATTAAAAATTGCAGACATGCCTAACTTGAAGGGGCGGTGGAAAGATGAAACATTAGGGGAATTAGCTCAAAATAGTGTCTCGTTTCCAACAACGATGTCTTGCCTTTCTAAGTTAACGGTTAAGCGTTGTGGTCAGTTGGCTTCCATTCCATGGTGTGCAGCCAATTTGCAATCAATGAACATAACAGGTGTTAACTTCCGGCTATTTCATTCGCTGCCGGAAGGGATCCGCCATCTCCACTCTTGCAACAGATTTGGATGAATGGATGCCCAAAAGAAATGGAGAAGATTGGCCTAAAATCGCCCATGTCCCGAGGGTTGAACTTGGAAGATAACAGAATAATCAATAAACCTTCATCAGGTACGTGAAGCCATCTCCCAACCAGCTCATTTATTATTGTAATTTCCTTCCCAAACTTCTAACTTTCAACCCTCATTTCAATTTCTTTACGGCCATCGTATTACAACATCTTATGCCAACCATTGAAATCATCGCCACCAGAAGGGTTAATGTGCCACCGCCTTGACCATGGTGAGGGAAAGGAAATTTTGAGGAATATTATATCTTCCAAAATTTGTGATCATTTTGATCCTTGGCTTAATTTATACACAAAATGACCAAAGTTTGATGCAAGTCATTCAGGCAATTAACCTTCCTTCAAACTCACACAACTCCCACCTATGCTGTCTTCTTATTTCAAATTTTTCTTTATTTTTGCTAGATATATGTTAATCTTTATTGCTGGGGTATCATTTCAATTTCGTCCTTTGTATTTTAATATTTTTCAATTTTACTATTTATATTGATAAATGTTGAAATGGGTATTAATTTACAATGTTTCTACACCAATAAATCAGTATTAATTTATTTTAATATTTCTTTAACTGATTTAATTTCATGACCAGAAGCCAGGCACAAAACTTGCAAACAGATTCAAAAAGTTTGACAACAGCCAACCACAAAATGGGTAATGATATAATTGGTTTCTTATTTATGCTCATCTTTTCTTTCTTTCTTCTTTTTCTAGTCAAATAATCTACCAATTTGGGATTTAATCATTTTTTGGCTTTTATGTTCATTGTACACTTGTAGTTTAATCTCTGTCATTGGAACTGAAGGATTGGGTTGGTTTCTGAACCACTTGCTTCTGAACATAGGGTAAAAAGAACATCTGTGGTATAAACAAATGAAGGTGGAAAAAGGAGATGAAGGAGATTACCCAAAGCAACATGAGTGAACCAGACGATGGTTGGATTACGCTTTAAAGATGAATTTTTCAATTTTCTCATGTAATATTGTCAATTGTCTAGATATTTATCTTGCTATATATCTTACCTCACATGTCTCTATTATATATATATCTATATATCTATCGCGTGTCTCTAGTAGTGACTTGAGACTAGAGAAAACTTTGTGTGCCTAATTATTATTGATAGTGAAGATTTTGATTACGGTTCCATGGTTTTTTACTCTGGATTTGTGAGGTTTTTCCACATAAAAATGTTGGTGTATTGTGTTTGTTTATATTATTTTTCTGCTTGTTTATTTCCTATTTGCTTATTTTCTATTAGATTTGCCGAAGAGGAGATATTTACTCCATATTCAAACTTGATTAATCCATCAATGAAGTCAAATGAATGGTTAAAGAACACACGTTTTGCCTTGTCTCTTGGCTGCTTTTACCTCCATATTTATGTTTTCGCTTCAAAATTTAGTTGACTCAATCCAAACAGATTCCCTTGTCTTTAAGCAATCGTCATGTAAACGTATATTACATCTTTTATTTATTTATAGTTTTCAAGCCATGTTCAATTCTTTCAACGGTACAGATGGGTTTAGTATTTTTTTTTTTGGAAAAACTATTTCATTGACGAATGTGAGAAACATACACAAAAGAAAGGAGGGCTAAACGAAAGCACTCCAATTTAGAGATAGGATGGTTGCATCATAATTACAAAACAAGGGGATTTAGAGGACCAAAGAGAAGCTGAAATAGTTATATCTTCCCAAAAGTTGGCCGGAGACTTCGATATGCCTGAGAAAGTACGATGATTTCTCTCCAACCAAATATGCCAAAGAATCGAGCTCACGGTGTTGCTCTAGAGAATATATCTTGGTTTAGTGAGCGGATCAGATAGAACCTCAACAATGAAATTATCAATATGGCTGGGGAGAGCGGAGGAAATCTGAAAAGTATTGAAAAGACGATACCAAATACTTTATGTGTACTTACAGTGGAGAAAAATATGATCCAAAGTCTCTGATGCCGATTCACAAAGATAGCACCGGTCTGGGCTGATGCTCATTTTTGGAAGGCGTTTCTGCAATCTTTCATGCGTATTTAATGCTCGGTGAAGGATAGACCAGAGGAAGAATTTGCACTTTTTTTGAGCAAAGATGCACCATAGCTTCAGAAAGAATTTGTTATGTGGGAGCCGCTGGTGGGACTGGAAGTGTTGCCTCATTGATTTTACAGTAAAACAATCTATTTCAATAGTAAACTCATCAGATGATGAGTAATAGATGATGAGTAATAGATGATGAGTTTACTATTGAAATAGATTGTTTTAAAAATTATTCATCTCAGTAATTATTGGTTGCATTCTGAATTTCATACGAGTGAAAACTCAACTAGATCTATATCCTGATTGGAATCTTATTGTGTTCCTTTTCATTCTTTAATATTTGATCTTTTTTATTTATTGTATTTCTGTATTCATATGGTGACATAATATTATACTCCGAGAGAATATAGTTCTCTCCTGACTCCTGCACAGTCCGATTCGAGTTTACCTTGTCTCGACCCTAAATTCGACATTGGACCGAGTCCAGATCTCTTGGGCACATAGACAAGCTTTTATTTATAGGCAGAGCTTCCAACAGAGAATTCGACAAGTTTCCAACAGCTCTCCGACAGCCCAAGAATCGCACCGTGTTATCATAGAGTGTGTTAGACATCGTTTTCTAAAGGAGTGTCTTTTGATCGGCACGACCGGCAACTTAGACAGCCGAAGTGAAAGATGGTAGTTCTTCCAAGCGATCGAGGTAAGAGATAGGTCGGCTCGACCTCTTTAGTGAGATTCGATGTGAGAATCCTTTCCCAAGTCAAATCTTTGTGCTGACTCGTCATCATCTCATCTTTTCAGTGGTTGACAAGTGTTCAGAGAGAAATCACCTTGAACATATAGCTATTACAATTTACATCTCACCGCACTCTAAAAGCAGCAGATTTGTTATGGCCCCAACCAATACCATCACGCCACTGCCATCACCTTGAGCCTATTCGAGCCAACAACTCGTAAACAAATGAGCGAATCATTCAAACTCCCTCTGTGCTTCCTTCAAACTCACACAAGTCCCACCTTTATATATTTTCTTCTTATTTCCACATTTTTTTTTCCTTTTTTTTTTAGCTTGAGATTTTCTTCATATTGATCTTGAATGTAACTCTCAGCTTTACAAAGTTCATACTCTTGGAAATCATTTTAATTTCAATATTTCTTGGCTGATTTCATGAGCAGAAGCATAGCTCAAAACTTGGAAACAGATTCAAAAAGTCTTATATAATAGACAAGCGTACGGAATAATGGATAATGATATTGCTTTCTCCTGCTCTTTTTTTTTTCTATAGTTGGGATGTAATTATTTTGGCTTTGGTGTTCATTGTGCACTTGTAGTTCAATTTCTACCATTGTAGTTGAAGGATTATTGAGTTGGTGTGTTTTGAATCTTATCAATGCTTTGCACTTGTTTCTGAATAGAGAGAAACGATCATCTGTTGCAAGCAGGTCAAGGAAGGAAGGAAAAACAGATAATTACCCAAAAATCAACATGAATGAATGAATCAGAGGATGATTGGATGCCTCGTTTAAGGGAGATTTTTCCATTTATTCTCATGTAATGGTATTTAAATTGACAAGATATATATTTGTTGTGTGGGGGTCTTTAGTTGTGATTAGATCAAGACCTTTGTGCAGCTATTATCAGCTATTATCGTTGATTGGTAGAGATTTTGACTATGGTGGCATGGTTTTGGAATTTTTCCAGGTTAAAATTTGTTGTATATTCTGTATTTACTTATATTGTTTTAATTTTAATAAAAATAAAATGAGTTTAATATATTTACAAAAAAAATTTATCTTTTTTTAATGTAATTATGCATCTTAAAATTTCAAATTCCAAATCTAAAAATCTTGAAAACATAAAATATTGTTTTCAAAATTTCCACAAAGTTTTAAAAAACTGAAAACGAAATTAAAAAATTTCAAGCTAGATCAGTGCACAAAATCGAGTATTATATAACTTTTTCTAACGAGATAGAAAGAGAAACTGGAGAAATAAGTTTGATGAAGGAAATTAGTACATTTCAACCAAACAAATAAATAATGAAAGCAAAATGGTTTTACATGCCTTATGAAAGTTTATGGATTTATTAATTTTACTTCTCATTTATCATCTAAAATTTTCAAATTGAGAGATCATATATATATGTATTTTCAAATTGAATATATATATATATATTGCGCGTGTGTGCAAAAAGGGTTGAAATACAAAAATTTTCACGATGTCTTAACTAGTTCAACTATGTAGTTAATCTAGTTTATTTGTTTTTTTAGTACAACATATGGGGTTGGAGATCGAACTCACAACCTTTTGATTAGAGATACATGTCAATTACTGCGGAACGCTATACTCCCTTTGACCGTTAGTCTAGTTTGTTACACTAACATTTATGATAAATAACATTAATAATATATTTTTTCTCAAATATATATCATACGATACGATGAACTTACCAACAAATCACATTTAACATGAATGGATGAAGAAAATATAACTACAAAATGCTAAAACATAAATAATTAAATTAAAAAGTATTTAAACAATTGTTACTAGTGTTTCTTTTTTTAAGGAAAAAACCACTGAAATATAAGAGAGTATTTTTATTTTTATGAGACAGAAATACAAGAGAGTATAACAGATATTTAGGTTACTTATAAGCACAATATTTAGTGCAATTATTGTTTGAATGTGTGGATAGACTGGTATATAGGGTAATAATAAGACTTCTCATTTCTCAAAAGCAAAGCAAATTTGGAGAAATTGTGTAAACTCAATAATTGTCAATTGATTTGTGGAATGGTGAAGTGGACAGACCCCACATTCCATAGATCTCCAAAAATCTTACTGTCTTCCATATGCATTAACTTTTTCTTAAAAGTAAAAGTGGAAAAAGAAAACAATATTATAAAAAGACTGGGTGGAGGTTGGTAAATAGAGGTTTTGTTTATTGGAAAAGCAGAAATTAACTTTTTCTTAAAAAAATAAAAGTGGAAAAAGAAAACAATATTATAAAAAGACTGGGTGGGAGGTTGGTCAATGGAGGTTTTGTTTATTGGAAAAGCAGACAGTACATTGAGATTAATTTTTGGTGTCCAATAATAATTCTATAGTCTATAAATTTTGGTGTGAAATAATATTGCCACAACTACCCAACCTCACTTAATCACCTCGGTTATTTGTTAAGCCTTCCTCCCACCAAACTCAATTTTCATCGATGGCGGAATCTATTCTCTTCAGCCTTACAGGAAAAATTATAATGAAATTGGGGTCTTTCGCAGGCCAAGAGCTTGCATTGCTCTGGGGCGTGGTTAATGAGCTTGACAAGCTCAAACGCATGCTTTCTGCCATTCAAGCCGTGGTTCTGGATGCAGAGGAGCAGCAGTTCAAGAGCCATGCAGTCAAGGATTGGATTTCAAAGCTTAAAGATGCTCTCTACGACATTGAGGACCTATTTGATGAGCTCTCTTATGCAACCCTGAGAATGCAAGTTATGGCTAGAGATAATAGAAGAAAGACCTACAAACAGGTATGCATGTTCTTCTCCAAATCGAATCCTATTGCTTTCGCTCTCAAAATGGGTCACAAAATCAAGGCAATTAGGGAGAGACTAGCAGATATTGGTATCGAGAAAACCCAATTTAAATTCTCTGAGTGTGTGATTATAAATATAAGAGATGATGGATTGAGGAAGACACGAGAGACTGGCTCTTATATACCTGAAGAGGAAGTGATTGATAGGAATGATGACAAGAAAGCAATAATAAATCTGCTATTAAAACCCAACACCAACAGAGATCCTGTAATTTCTATAGTTGGAATGGGAGGATTAGGAAAGACTGCCCTTGCTCAATCTATCTATAATGATAACATGTTGGTCGAACATTTTGATTTGAAGTTATGGGTGTGTGTTTCTGAAGAATTTGAAGTAAAAGTTATAATCGAAAAAATAATAGAGTCTGCAACGGGGAAAAGACCTGAGTCATGCCTTCAAATGGATTCCTTGCAAAGTAAACTTAGAAAGCTAGTTGATGTGAAAAGAAATATTTGCTCATCATGGATGATGTGTGGAATGAGGATCATGAGAAATGGGTAATTCTGAGACAATCCTTGATAGATGGTGCAAAAGGGAGTAGAATTTTGATCACAACGCGTAGTGAACAAGTTGCAAAAACTTTTGACTCATCTCCATTGTATTTTGTAGAAAGCTTGGATGAAGACAACTCTTGGTTATTGTTTAAGAAAATGACATTTTGTAGACAATCAGAACAAGATCTTATGAATTCAAATTTAGTCGAAATTGGTAAAGAGATTGTGGCAAAATTAAAAGGTGTCCCTCTTGCAATAAAAACTATAGGACGACTTTTGTATGCTAAAAAGTCAGAAGATCGTCTTTCAAAGATAAGGAACTTTACCAAATTACGGAACAAAGAGGTTTAGAAGACCTGCGATCAATACTTGAGCTCAGTTATATCCACCTCCCGTCTAATTTGAAGCAATGTTTTCTGTATTGTGCTTTGTTCCCTAAAAATTATGAAATTCGAAAGGATGAAGTAATAATGCAATGGAGAGCACAAGGTTTCATTCAACCAAACGACAAAGATAAGCTCGCTGATATTGGTGAGGATTATTTTATGGAGCTATTATCGAGGTCATTCTTTCAAGACGTCACAAAAAAAGAATTGGGAATCATAAAAGCATGTAAGATACATGACTTGATGCATGATCTTGCTTGTTCGATAGTAGATAAAGAATGTGCCCGTGACGTGAATGCTTGCACATTCAACGAAAGAACTCGTCACATTTCATTTGACTTAATGTCATGGAAAGAATTGGAAAAGCTTGCAAAAACATTATATGAGGCAAGAAATTTGAGGACATGTTTTCTTCGAACTAATCAAATTTCTTTCTTCGAAAGAGTGAACAATTTAAATGAAATCTTTGAGTGTGTCTTTCATAATCTTTTGAGACTACGGGCATTGGACTTGCAATTGAGTATTTACTTCCAGAGTGCCGAGTTTCTCAAATGTATTAAGACATTGAAACATTTGAGATATCTGAAAATTAAAATTACTGGTAAAGTTACAAAAAAAAATTTCAAATTCTATTACTGGATTGTACCATTTGGAAGGACTTATCCTCAGATGTGTAGGATTAAAAGAATTGCCGAAAGATGTAAAAAATTGGATCAATCTTAAGCATCTTGATCTTTCAAGTAGTGGGGTAGAATTTCTTCCGGATTCTATTACTCAGTAAAAGAACTTGGAAACCCTGATGCTTTGTTTTTGTTATAAATTAAAAGAACTACCCACTGATACGAAAAACTTGATCAACCTTAAACATCTTGATGTGGATGGATGCACTGCTTTGACTCATATGCCAAGAGGACTAGGTGAGCTAACTAATCTTCAAACATTGAATTTATTTGTATTAGAAAAATATAATAATGGTGGTGGTGGACTAAGCGAGTTGAATGGACTTAACAAGCTGAGAGGATCTCTAACTATCGAAGGATTGCAATTTTGTTCAACTGTTGATCTACAAACGAATGCTAAGTTCCTGGAACTAAAGTCGGGTCTTCAAAAGTTAGTGTTAAAGTGGAAGCGGGACGACGATTCATTTAATGATCCTACCATCAATGCCTTGGATGATGACTACAAAAGGGTTTTAGAATGCAGCCACATCCAAATACTCAAGAAATATGTATAGTGGGATACAAAGGAGTGAAGTTATGTAATTGGCTATCCTCGTCCTCTTATTCCTTTGGTGATCTAGTCCGCATGAAAGTTTCATCATGTGAAAGATTGCAGCATCTCCCTCAATTTGATCCATTTCCTAATCTCAAGGTCCTTCATCTTGAAGACTTGCCCTGTATCGAGTACATTGTAAGCAACAATGATTATCCTTGTTCATCCACTTTCTTTCCATCCCTCGAGGTTTTAATCATTTCAGACACGCCTAAATTGAGGGGATGGTTGAAGAAGGGTCAAACCTCAACAAATGATTGTATATTTCCATGCCTTTCTGAATTGTATGTTTTGGATTGTCCTCTGTTTGCTTCGATGGCATGTCGTGCACCTTCCAATTCATTGGAAACAATGGATTCAATACTATACCATATTGACGTGGAAGGATTATTGGATATTGTACCATTTAAAGTAAATTTTCCAAGACGTCCCTCCGGTCTACACCTTTGGCTCATTTCCGAAGGGGAGTTTTTGTCCAATCATCTGCAACGTGGGGCAAATCTTCACCAATTATTTATACATTTCTGTCCAAATCTAACGAGTCTACTAGAATGGATCGGCAACATCACATCACTCTCAAAATTGGAGATTATGAATGGTTCAGATTTAGCGAGTCTACCGGAATTAATTGGCAACCTTCCTTCACTTGCAAAATTGGGGATTTATTATTGTCCAGAGCTAACTTCACTGCCAAAAGAGATCAGCCACCTCCAGTGTTCAGTACATTTGAATATTTTGCGCACATATCCGCGAGGTAGGCATTTGATTCTATAAATCTTCGTGGGGTATGCAATAGTTCAAATATATCCATGCCAAAAAAAAAAACAAAAAGAGGCACTGTTTACTTTTTATTTCTTTATTTTTTTCCTTTTATCTCTTTGGATGCCTTATTTTCACTATTAATACTTGCCATGATTTGAAGATCCAACATAAAAATCAAAGATTGATTTAGGGAGAGGAATGTCATTAAGTCACTCTTGTTGGAGAAATATTAGGCAATCTAAAACAGAAAATTTTGTAATTTCTCTACATTTCTAAAAATAAATTATAGATTAATTTTTTCTTTTTTAATATAACATGTAGAGGTAGAGATTCAAATTCAAAACTTTTTGGTTGATGATGGTTTTTATAGCTTTTTGTTGGAATGCCTATTAGGAATGAAAAGAAAGTGGAGGCAGTAATAATAATATAATCTTTTTTATCATAATTTAGGAATGAAAAACTATTGAAATTTGACCCTTTTACAACCTTTATTGATTGACTTTCTTTTTCATGGAGTTCAACCACAAATAAACGTTGCAAGATTTGAACTTCGAATCATCTTAGAAAGATTTGAACTTCGGATCTTTAGAGGGTTGTTATGCCTTAACGAAATAAAAATTGTAAAGATATATAATATAGGAAACCACGATATCATAATATCTCAAGATAATGAATAAATGATATAGGTACGAATTGCAATCATTCTGAGTTTGATATCCAAAGAAACCTTATGCATTTGGAAGTTTATGGCAATTGGTGTCTGATTTAAGGTCCATGTGACTCGTTGTCCCTTCACTATTCTGCAATTTAGTGCAAACTTTTGAAAGCTTGGGCAACTACAAATATTTTGCACAAGAAAACCTGAGTTGTTGTTAAGCCTTTCTCTAAATCTGTTCTCTACCAATTTCTCATTTTTCCTCAATGGCAGAATCAATTTTGTTCGATGTTGCGGGGAGCCTTATAATGAAACTTGGCTCTCACGCATTCAGAAGTCTGGGATCCATCTGGGGTCTCAATGATGAGCTTGACAAACTAGAAGACACCATTTCCTCCATTAAAGCCGTACTTCTCGATGCAGAGGAGCAGCAGTCCAAGCGCCACGCGGTGAAGGTTTGGATTTCAAGGCTTAAAGATGCTCTCTACGATGTTGATGACTTGATTGATGAGTTCTCTTACGAAGCCTTAAGGACACAAGTTAAGGCCACGTGTGGAAGAAAGAACGCACAGGTACGCATGTTCTTCTCCAAATCAAATCCTATTGCATTTGGTCTTCGAATGGGTCACAAAATAAAGGCAATTAGGGAGAAATTAAAGGATATTGATGCTGATCAAAAAATAAACTTAAACTTTTTGGTGGCGATGATGAATATGCGAGATGATGGAAATAGGAAGGAACGGGAGACTTACTCTTTTATACCTGAAGGGGAAGTGATTGGTAGGGCTGATGAAAGGAAAGCAATCATAGATCTTTTGTTGGATACCAACTCTAAAGAGAATATTGGAGTGATTGCCATAGTTGGAATTGGAGGATTAGGAAAGACCACACTTGCTCAATTTGTTTATAACGATGAGAAGATATCAAAACATTTTGAGCTGAAACTGTGGGTGTGTGTTTCTGAACAATTTGATGTTAAAATTGTTGCTGAAAAGATTCTAGAGTCTGCTACAAAGAAGAGATGTGAGCCCCTTGAGATGGATCCATTGCAAAGTTCACTTCGAAATGAAATCGACGGTAAAAAATATCTACTCATCATGGATGACGTGTGGAATGAGAATTATGAAAAATGGATTAATTTGAAAAGATTGTTAGTGGGTGGTGCAACTGGGAGTAGGATTTTGATCACCACACGTGGTAAACAAGTTGCTGAAACATTTGATGTGTCTTCGTTATATTCTTTAGAAAATCTAAATGAAGATGATTCTTGGTTATTGTTTACAAAAATGGCATCTTTGGAGGTAGTAGAAAAGGAGCCTGAGAATTCAAATTTTATCAAAATTGGCAAGGAGATTGCGGCGAAGTTAAAAGGTGTTCCTCTTGCCATAAGAATTGTTGGACGACATCTACATTCCAAGAGATCAGAAGTTGATTGGTTGTCTTTCAAGGACAATGAACTTTCAAAGGCTACACATGAGATGCAATCAATACTTAAGATTAGTTATAACCACCTCTCGTCTGATTTAAAGCAGTGTTTTACATATTGTGCTTTATTCCCTAAAGATTATGATATTCAAAAGCATGGAGTGATAAAGTATTGGGTCGCACAAGGTTTCATTCAACCACATAGTACAAAGGCAATCGAAGATGTTGGTGATGATTATTTCATGGAGTTACTATGGAGGTCGTTCTTTCAAGATATAAAAAATGATGAATTTGGAGAGATTAAACAGTACAAGATGCACGACTTCATGCATGATCTTGCAAGTTCAATAGTTGACAAAGAATGTGTTCTTGCAAGTTTGGATGTTGGGACTATTGTAAAAAGAACTCGACATGTGTTCATTGAGTCAAGCTCAAATAAAGTGTTGGAACTTCCGCAACTTTTAACAAAGGCAAAGAATTTGAGAACATTATATTATCCTCCTATTCGTCGTAACAAAACCCTTCACATAATCATTTCTATTCATTTGCAATTACGAATATTGGTTTTGAGGTACACATGAAAGAATTGCCCAAGTCTATTGGCAAGTTGAAACATTTGAGATATCTCGACCTTACTAATAACATGTGACAACTCTTCAAAATTTGAATATAGGCTTATGTCCAAATTTAACGATTCTACCGGAATGGATTGGCAAACTTACATCACTTTCATCATTGTTTATTTGGAAGTGTACAGAGATAACTTCGCTGCCTGAAGGAATTGGCCACCTCGTTTCACTTACACTTTTGGACGTTTCTTGGTGTTCTAATTTAAATTCGCTGCCGGAAGGGATCCGCCATCTCCACTCCTTGCAAGAGATTTTGATGCATGGATGCCCAAAATTGATAAAAGGGTGCAAGAAAGGAAATGGAGAAGACTGGCCTAAAATCGCCCATGTCCCGAGCGTATATCCTCAGCCTTGACACTTGGAAGATAACAGAATAATCAATAAACCTTCATCAGGTACGAGCTGAAGCCATCTCCCCCACCTCATTTATTTTTAAATGTCTTCAAATTCTATTCTAATTGTCTGCGCAAACTTCCAACTTTCAACCCTCATTTCAATTTCTTTTCAGCCAGAAGGGATGCAACCCAAGAATTATTTCTCAGCCTTCATCTCTCTGAAAATTTTGCTCATTGAATCATTCAGGTAACCTCTTTGCTTCCCTTAAACGTGATCACACAACTCTCACGCCTATGTTCTCTTCTTACTTCCACTTTTTTTTGTCTCTTTGCCTGTGTTTTAGTCTCTAATATATTTTGGTGTTTTTTTTTAATTTAGTTTATATTGTTATACAAAAATTTAATGTAGTCTCTTGTGTTTTACCATTTTTAATTATATATTTCATATCGATAAGTGTTGAAATTGACTGATAATAAATTTGTATAAAATAATACTAAGTGAATTAAAGGTAATCTTAATCTTATTTATGTTTTTCTATTAAATAGTGGAGAAAAGAAGACCTACTAAGTAAGCCCTGAAGTATAACAGACACAGGTGGAGGAAGGAAGGAAAGAAAATGATCCAAAATAATGTTGTTTGAACCCTTTTGAGTTGTCTCCTTTCCATCGAGCTGGTATAAGATGATATTTGAATGCCACTATGAAGTGAGGTTTTTTTTTCTCTTTTTCTATTTTCTCTCTTGTAATATTGTCAAATTTGAATGATATATTTATCTTGTTGTGTGTGCCTCTGATTTGGACTAAAGAGGACTTTTGTATACTTAATATTGTTGATAGTGGAGATTTTGACTACGGTCACGTGATTTTTTACTCCTCAAATTTGGAGAGATTTGTTCACGTTAAAATGGTTTGGTGTTCTATATTTGTCTATATTATTAGTTCCTTTTATGTTCACAAGAAACAGATAATTGTTCCTTGGGCAAACGTGTTTATTCCATCTCCATATATTTAATTGTGAACAATTAAGCTTCGGTTTTTCCAAATATTTGAGTTGAGCCATTAATCCCATGTGCAAGCAATTAATTTCCTAGAGGATAAATTGAAGTAAATGTCAGATATAAAGCTGACACACATGCAGGCCATAGAGGTGCATTATTTTTGTCAGGTGTAAAATTCTCAATTCTCAATACTTATTATTCTAACCTTTGTTTGAGTCACCATTTCGTGAAATTATTTTTTCACCCTCGTTTATTTCTTCCAATAACTACCCTCCTTTATTATTATTATTTGTTTTTACTTTTCTTCCGCATCTTTGTTTATCTTTATTATTTACGTTTCATCTTCTACCCTCACTATTTTTTACTTTTTTTTTTCACTATAAAAATTTTCAATTGAATTTTACTTCGTCATTTTTCTTTAAATTTAAAATCAAAATTTTGAACTCCAGCTCTGTAATTTTTTCATTGTTCATATTGTCTTTTTTCTTTAAAATATAACATTTTAAAGGACAAAAGCTCAAATCTTCTATCTATAATATCAACTGGGCTCAATTGTTAAAACAACAATTTTTAATAAAAAAGATCGTAAGTTTGAATCATCACCTCTTCATATTTACTTAACAAAATATTCAAACTCTACCAAAGATATTAAAAAAAGGGGCAGTTGCAAATATAGCAAAAATATTTAGTAAAATAAGTAAAATAGCAACCACATTTAGTTTTTCCAAATATAATATTTTTAAAATTACAACTTTACCCTACAATATATCTTACACACATTTGTAATTTATCTACAATATATATGCTTCTGATATACTACTGATATAATAATGATATATAATTGATTTACTTCTGATATAACTATGATATCTACTAAACTTCTAATATGGTTTATCACTGATATACGTATGATAACCATTGATTTGTCATGCTGAACATTTATATATCTATGATAGATACTTGATATGTCTTTAATTTACCATTGATATATAAATGATATATCACTGATATAACTATGATATCTACTTATATAACTTCTTATATATAATTATATGATTTACCACTAATATAACACTGATATATATTTGATATATACTTAATATGCTTCTAATTTACCATTGATATACCTTTAATATAACTATGATATCTAATAATATAATTATGATACATGTGTGTTGATATAATACTATTATATCCACTATTTTTTTCATATGAAAAACAATGGTGCAAAAAAAAAAAATTGAAATATAAAGTTATTGTATAAAGGGTTTACGTGGATCATGCACGACAAAAAAAAAACATTCATTAGAAATCTGATATACTTTATAAATTGAAACAGTCGATATCCATTATATTTATTTAATATCTAATTAATATTAATATAGAATAAATAGTAGTGATATAGTAATCAACATTATTGATAATATTAATATATCAATTAATAAATTGCAATGGTAAACTAGAATTTAAACAGTTGATATACCACTAAAAATTAAATATTTGATATACCTTATATTTAGTATATCAGTTACAAATATATTTAATATATCATAAATTAGAGGTACATCAGATATATATATTAAAAATATAATACATACATCTGATAATTATATCATGAATACATATGATAATGTATATCAGGAGTACCTCAGATATATATTAGAAATATATCAGATGTGTATCAAATGTATATCAGATATTATTTGGATGTATATCAGATATAAATATACATTAGATTTATATCAAATACTGATATACTTTTGATGTATATCAAATATCATAAGGTTTAAATCGGATAATAAAAAATTCGAAAATAAAAATTCAAATATTTTACTATATTTTCAAAATAATTTTGAAAAGCTGATAACATTTTTTGAAATATATGAATTATTTTTTTCTATCTACCACGCCTACCCTGAAACAAATTATAGATTGTATAAAAATACATATTAAATATAAAAAGACATTGTACGCGGTAGATTTAAAAAAATCTAATATTTTACTATATTTTCAAAATAATTTTGAAAAGCTGATGACATTTTTTGAAATATATGAATTATTTTTTTCTATCTACCACGCCTACCCTGAAACAAATTATAGATTGTATAAAAATACATATTAAATATAAAAGGACATTGTACGCGGTAGATTTAAAAAAATCTCAAGGTAATTAAAAGGAAAAGAGAAAAAAAAGAAAAAAAGAAACCACAAGAGTATGTTCAGAAAAGAACTCGAAGGGACATGCGCTCAACGGTACGATTTTTGCTTCACGCCATTTTTCCGACTGTCCCGTTCACAGTCTCGAACTGAAACCCTAACTCTCAGTTCTCACTGGTCACCTGGATTCAACGGGATACTTGAAATTTCATATCTCGAAAGCTCGAGCAAGCTTATGCTATGGCGGAATCTGAGCATCGTGCGAAGCGCCCTAGAATTACGAGGTCCGTCATACGATCACTCAATTTTTGGCCCACGTTGAAATATATTTATTCTTATTCCACTATACATTATCTTCGTACCTTTTCTGTACTTCAGTGTGATAATGGGGTTAGAGCTAGGGTTTTACTTGCCCAGTCCCATCGAGTTTCGTTTTGTTCTCGTGGTTTCGGAAAATGAACGAGGGAAAGTTCAGCATCTTCACATTGGTTTAGTTTTTTCTTTTCGTGGCCCTCGGTAGGCAGGATTTTTCACTGGAATACCCCTGTTTTTTTAATTGAATTATTTGTTACATCCTTCCATTTTTGTTTATATTTTATGAAATAGTTTTACAAAATAACAAAGGCAAGGAAAGGGAAAACAGAAATTAGAAATAATCTGCTCAGTGTTGCTCGTTATGATTAGCTTGAGCAATGAGCTTGTCATTAAATACAAGTCACTAACTAACAGTACATATATCAAAAGGCTAAGCAAGAGGACCAACCATATGCCCAGCATATGGCCGAACAATAAATTCACGCTATTATACAATTTGGAAAAGTAGCTAAAATTAGCTACACTCTCTGACCAAAACTAATGAGAGGAGCTATTAGCTGTAACAAATACCAAACGTCCTGTCTTAGTTAATTCATTTATGCTTATTGTTATTGCAACGACATGTGTTGTTTAGTTGATTCATCGACCCTCATATCTTTTGAAGGTTTAAATGAATTTTTTGGATAAGAAAAGGTTTAAATGAATGAAAGGATATAGGTCTTACTTTCAGTTCTGGAAGGACTGCGGGTTTGGAACTAGCTTATTCTGTGAACTTATTAACCTTTATGACCTCTCTCTTATAAATTTGGGGGTTCTCATCGTTCGTGCATAATCTTCATTTTAAGATGAGATTTCAACAAGTAAAAGATTCTTTTGGAATGAATCTTGATGGATTGAGGGCATTTAGCATCAACTCAACAATGAACTCTCGAAAACCAAGTGAGCATCCTAAGCCTGCATATGAGCTGGTGGATTTGGGATGGTAAGAACCTCGACAATTTTTTCCTTTAGACCTCACATCAACTCATGAAAGCATTCTAGAGGAAAAGGGGAGGAAAAGGGGAAGAAAAAGAAGGGATAATTTTTCTTGAAATATAGACCAATGGAAACTTAACGCATAAATAAGTATTTATGAAGCCTCTTGAAATTTGATTGGTTTATTTATTTATTTTTTACAAGGGGAAGCTTGCAAAGCTCTCTCCTAGTTAGAAAGCTGCAAACACCACTTCCTGTCCTATTTGTATGTGTTAATTGTTAAGTATACCACCGGCTGGATCACATTCACTTGCTTGCCGCCTGGCTCCATAGTAACAAAGTGGAAAGTAGGCACGCCCCCATAACCACACAAGAGGGTAATGAGATTCAACTATATGGTCACGCTTCTTCGAGAATGGGTTTTCCTGGCATTGAGCCAATCAAATACTGACTTGAGGTATTTTTCTACCCATTCTTAACTTTGATTTTTGTTTTGGATCTTCCAAATCATTCTCGGTAGAGGTTCAAGATTACCTGAATCAATCTTCAACTTTTTTCGTGGAAAACTGTTGCCTTTAGCTCTAGAACTCAGGGGTGCACATCGATTTTGGACTCATCGATGCTCACAACAGGCAGAGTGCTTTTATCGGTCAGAGCTCGGCACGACGCCAGTTGACCGACTAGACCGATGATTGGTCAGTTTTGGCCAAAACTGATGCAAGAGTGAGCTTTTAGTGAAGTAACGAGAGAGAAAAAAACCTAGTGAGAAGGAGATAAGAGCTAAAAAGTAAGCTACACTTGGACAAAAGGAAGAAAACGAAAAGACGAAGAGAAGGAAAGGCAAGCAAAGAGAGACAGGGAGATGAGGAGGGAGGTGGGAGAAGAGAGAAAGGGAGACAGAGAAATAATGGAAGAAGAAAGAAATGGAAAGGGGAGAAGTGGCAGAGAGAAAGAGAAAGGGAGAAGAAGATAGAAAATAAATAAGAAATGAGGAGGATGGGGAGAGAATTTTTTTCTTTCTAAAAGCTGTTCATTAAAATTTAGTTTTTTGCCTTGAGAAAACCAGAGGTACCAGTTATTGCAACCTAACATTGGGGATGCTATTTGGCAGTTGAAAGTTCTATCTTATGGGGTAAGGAAAGGATGGCGTTTGAGGGCAATATCTTGGAGTAGATTTGATAAGTTGCCCCACTCAATGGTCTTAGATTATTAAGGTTAAACTCAATTTTCCACCTTAAAATCTCCTCAGACCAACATTGATTAGCAATCCATAATGCATTTGATTCTAACTTAGACTTCCAATTCTATTTAGAAGGACTAAGTTCCTTATTTTTTTTAGAACCATTTCATTGATGATATGAAATTACAAAAGAAAGAAGCCCATCCAAAGGAGTTACAAAGTAAGTCTCCAATTGGATAAAAGATTGGTAAAGC